TCAACAGTTTAGAAATGCATTCTTGGAGATGTCTAGTCGAGGAGAAAAGCAGTCTTCCAGAGGATGTATTACAATTCTTTGTACTCCAGCACAATGAATCAGAATAACGCCAGAACCAGAATAAAACTGCTGTTTCTCCTCGTTTTGAGTTGTGTCCCATCAGGACATGAAGGATCCGAAAGCTCTACTCCATTCACATCATCATGGTCAAGTCTACTTGGAGGAGGCAGCTCTTCCCCAGTTGTATTTTGAGTGCCTTCCAAAATGAGGGGCTCATCTTCCAGCACTGTTTTTGTTGTGAAGTGCCGTCAAATCGATTCCGACCTATAGTGACACTGTATAGAGTTTCCAAGGACCAGCTGGTGAGCTTGAACCACCGACCTTGCAGTTCAAATGACTTTGCAGTCTGATGCATTAGCTCACAGCGCCACACCAGGACTCCATCTTCTGATGCTAGATCTGACAATATGGTGGTGCTCTTCATCATGTTTCAATATTCAACATTCGGGTGCTATTTGACAGTGTTCCACTGTTATTCATAAGGTTTTCAGTGGCTAAATATTTGGAAGTAGTCTGTCTCTCCTTCTTCCTAGTCTGCCTAAGCCAGGAAGCTCATCTGAAACCTGTCTACCATATGTGACCCTGTGATATTTAAAACGCTGGTGACATAGCTTCCAATATCACAGCAACACGAAAGTCACCACAGTGACAGACAAGTGGACAATATAGTGCAATATTAACTGCAGTCTGATGTTGCTTATTATACTGATAATCTAACTCTACTCCAAGGGTAACACAGCTGTTATGACAAAAATGTTCAAAACACTGAGTGTCAAGTTTCAAAACTGTGGGCATCTCCTGTTGGCATATCTTGGTTTGTTTAAAAAATTTTTAAAGTGACAAATTTGTCTGAATGCTTTTCTTGCCAATCCATCTTAGCTTCTAATCTATCAGCTAAAGCTCCCTGCTCTGTCCCTGATTCTAAATGAAGTCTAATTTCCTTCCTCCAGTCAACGCTCATTTACCTGACCAGACTGGTTTGTGATGACACTTTGCTTTCCAAGTAGTTGTTGCTGTTGTTGTCAGGTGCCATCGAGTTGGAACCCACTCATAGCGACCCCATGCACAGCAGAACGAAACAATGTCCGATCCTGGGCCAACCTCACTAC